GAAAGGCCACGCCAGCTCCCGTGCGAGCGACGATGTCGGCTGCCGGACGGACACACGCACATAGCACACAGACACACACGTGTGTGTCTGTGTCGAGGGGTGGGTGCGTGGGGGTGGGGGGGAGGGTGCACACCTCTAACAACGGGGGCGTTGGATGTGCAGTCGTCGAGCCCGAAAAGCTCCTCCAGGTCTTCGTCCCACATGTGCTTGGCTGACACACACACACACACACTCACACACACAGATGTCCCCCCCACGACACAGACAGCCTGTGGGTAGACGTACCAGCGTCAACACGGAAGCCGCTGATGCCGAGGTGCAGCAGCTCGCGAATCGCACGCCGCTGCAGAGACTGCACCTGCGACATCCACCAATCCGCAGACGCACACACACATATATATCGACGCACACACGCGTGTGCAGCCATACCTTGGGCGACGCTGTTCTCAGGTCCGGCAGCCCCAGGAGGCTGCAGTCTTTGATTTTCACCGGATCAATGTCACTCGGCGGGATGTAGTCGACACTGCCAAAGCAACAACAAAGGCCGTGAGGGCGTATGGCGCATCACCCCAACCACGGTAGGTCCGCCCCGCCCACCTGCACTCGTGGAAGTCGTTCTCGGTCAGATTGAGGTCGGGGTAAGACAGCAGCGGCGCACAGGCGCGGATATCGGGGTTGTAGGCCTTCTGTTCTCGAGAGCACGCCGCTGTCTGCTGCTCCCCACTCCCACTCCCAACAGCAGCTGTGTCGCAGCACCGAAACGCCGCCAGGTTGTTGAGGACGATGTCGGCTATCACCTGTATGCCGACATCGGCGCATTCCTCGACGGTCCGTCTGAGGGCGGCCACATCGCCGCTGCGCGAAGTGAGGTTGTATGACATAGGCTGGTACCTCTCCCACCTAAACACACACACACACACACACGCATTCAGAAGAGCGTCCTCTCCGTGTGTGTGCCACTACCATGGGTAGCTGATGGCCTCGCCCGTCGCAGAGGGGATGCCCTCGACAGGCAGCAGCGACCGATGGCTGTGCACAGGCGACAGCTGACACACACCAAACCATATAGGGGACAGCGTCTTGGTCGTGTATTGGTTGTGTCTTGGTTGTGTTGCGTTGTGTCGTGTTGCGCACCTGCACGGCTTTCCAGCCGTCCTTTGCCAGCGTCGGGCACTCTGCTGCGATGTCGTCGTAGGGCCACTCAAACAGTTGCAGCACCGCCCCCTCCCAGTAGCACCACACAGGGCAGACACAGACACACAACCACAGCCACGCACACGACCACACACACACACACGGACACGCAGACGACCACAAAGCACCAGCTGCCACGGCGGCCACCTTCATATACCGCTCTGAGCGTCTGTCTGTCTGCCTGACTGTCTGCCTATTTCTGCCACCTGCGAGTACACAGAACAGACAAACAAAGAGACTTACCTACTCAATCTCCACAAATACAACACAACACAGTACAACACAATACACAGCTGCGACGGTGCTTGACGGTGGCCGTCCTGATCTGCCTGTATCTGCTGTGCCTGCCTGCCTACACCTTCAGCTCCAATCTGCGCTGCCCTCCCTCTTTCAGGCAGATCACGCCGCTCACGACCGGCGCCCGCCCTCTTCTCGGCAGCGCTGATGGGGCAGACGCAAAAAGAGGGGGAAGAACAGACCCGGCAAGCTAAGCTCGCAGCTGAGCTTGCAAACCTCCAAAGAGAACAGAAGCGGATGGGTTAGTTGTGTTGGGTGAGGCGTGTGGGGCGAAAGAAATCATCACACAAAGGTGAAAGTTGCGCCGGCAATCGAGGCGTGGACACTATTTGTTCGATTGTTGTGCAGTAAGTGGGAGCGATGCATCTGAAGGGGAGCGGCAACGAGACCAGCGACCGGCTGAGGGACCTCGCCACATCAGCCGTCCTGGTATGTGTGTACGTATGTCTGCAGGCAGAGAGAGAAAGAGAAAGTCATGGATGGATGGCATGGCATCAGCATTGCTGTCTGTCTGTCTGCGTGTGTTCAGGAGAAGGCCATTGAAGACCGCCTGAAAAAAGAAGAGAACAGAGGTAGGCCTACGCCGAACATACAGTCCCGCTTCACTCCTTAACGCGTCTGTGCCATCGATGGGTGCAGGTGCTGCCCAGAGTGACGCCGGTGTGGGGGGTGTCAAGCGGCAGGCAGACAGCGATGAAGGGGCGACAGATCACGGTGCGTTCGTGTCAGCACATGTCGGGCATTAGCTCGTGTGCGCATGGATGGATGGATGGATGGACCCATGCGTGTGTGTATGGCGTCCAGGCGACGATGCTGAGGACAGTGAGCTGAGCCGGCTGAGGGAGAGGCGCATACAGCAGATCAAGGTGAGCTCACACACACACCCGGTTGTTGGCGCGGGTCTAGATCGGTTGTTGGCGCGGGTCTAGATACATGTGTGTGTGTGTGTGTGCGCGTATGGATGGATGGCTGCAGGCAGCAGCGGCCGACAGGAAGAAGGAGAGCGAGATGGGCTATGGCGAGTACACGATGATCGACGAGGAGGACTTCCTCAACACCGTCACCAAGTGCAAGAGATGCGTAAGGACAGACACACAGACAGACAGACAGACAGTGTGTTGGATTCATTGCCTGTCCGTGTGCAGGTCTGTCACTTCTTCCATCGGGAGTTTGAGCGGTGCAAGGTAAGGTGAGCCCCCTGACCGTGTGGCGACGTGCAATCACCGGTCCATTATCTGTGTGTGTGTGACTGTGC